CATCCATCCACCCATCCATCCATCTATCCATGTATCCACCCATCTATCCATCCACACATTTGTTCTTCCTTCAACACCATCTCCAACACTGGGCTACCTTCACTCTTACTGGTCCCCATCCAAGGATCATCCATCCACCCATCCATCCATCTATCCATGTATCCACCCATCTATCCATCCACACATTTGTTCTTCCTTCAACACCATCTCCAACACTGGGCTACCTTCACTCTTACTGGTCCCCATCCAAGGATGGGCAATGCTTGGTGCTGCCCAGTTCCTCACTCAGAGCAGCCTGCAAGCGAGGAGCTGCTGGGATGGTGGGTGGTAGACAGACGCACGTTAGAGGGCCCTGTGTCACCCCGGGGTTCCCCCAAGCCAGAGGATGCTGGCAGAGGAGGTCCCTCCTGGGTCTGGGGTTCCTCCTGCCCTGTTGCCAGCATGGGAGCCTTCAGAGCCCAGCCCAGGCACCCACGGGTGCTGCAGAAGCAGCTCCCAGCCAGGGCTGAGCAGCTCTGATTTGTCCCCCCAGATCCTGTTGGGATATGACATCACCCTGGTGCAGGAGGTGCGGGATGCTGACCTGAGCGCCGTGAAGAAACTCATGGACCAGCTCAACAGGTGCTCCCCATAGCACAGGGCTGGGGGTCCCTGCAAACGGGATGCTGGGGCAGATTCCAGCCGGAGCCTTGCTGTACCAGGGCACCTCCAGCTCAGCCACAGAGAGCACAGTGGGTGCTGGGGTGTGCCAGGAGCCTCCTCTCATCTCTCTGCATCTCACTCTCAGCGTGTCCCTGCACCCGTACAGCTTTTTGGATAGCATCCCCCTGGGTCGGACCAGCTACAAGGAGCAGTATGTCTTCATCTACAGGTAAGGGATGCTGCCAGGGTCCAGTGTCCCCTGTGTCACCCACTGTCCTCCTCAGTGGCCCCCAGAGGGCAGTGGGTACCTTTGGGGGCCCTGGCTGCAGCAGGAGCAGTGCTGTGGGCTGCCCTGCTCTTCCCCTCAGGTCGGACATGGTCTCAGTGCTGGAAAGCTACTACTACAATGACAGCTGTGGGACAGATGCCTTCAGCAGGGACCCCTTCATTGTGAAGTTCTTCTCACCCACCACGCGTGAGCAGAGCCGGCACTGGGGCTGCCCAGAGCTGGCACAGGGTTCCCTCTGCACAGAGCTGATGCCAGGCAGGGGGGTTGCACCCTGGAGCCCAGCTCAGGGGCTCCACCAGAGTCCTTCACTGTAGCAGGGCCTTCTCCTACCCATGGGTGCCCAGGGGTCCTGGGTGCTGCCCAGCGTGGCTAGCACTGCCTGCTGTTTCCCACCATGTGCCATCTCCCATCACCTCCCATTGCTGTCATCTCCCACCATGCGTTCTCTCCAGTTGTGTGCCATCTCACATCTCCAGCTGTTTTCCATCTTGTCCCACATCCCATCACCTGCTACCTGCTATCTTGTGCCATATCCCACTATCTGCTTCCTCTGCTTGAGTGTCACCTCCCCTCATGTACCATCCCCCATAGCTTGCCATGCCCCATCACCTGCCATCTCCATCACGTGCCATCTCCTGTCATGTCCCGTCTCCCACCTTGTGCCATCTCCCACCCTGTGCAATAACCTCCACCTCCCAAGAACCTCCCCAGGGTGTACACACTCGCCCATCTCTCTTCCACCCCTACCTCCTTCCCAAACCCACAGTGTCTTGGAAAAACTGATGAGAAACAAGCAGCAAACCCTAAACCACGTGCAGAGGGATGCAGCTCCCCACTGGAAATTCCAGCCTGGAGGACAAGCAGACCACAAAAAGCCAATACACCCCT